GTCACATTTTTTTATGATATTCAGTTTCTTTATAACATCAAAATATCTTAATTAAAAAAAATGTAAATAACATTTCCATTTTTAATTCAATAAAAATCACAAATTCATCCACTTACAATTATACCCCCAATCTATCACCCTACTAATTACACACAAAGCACCCACTTCAACCTTGCAATCCACTCTAAACGATTGTGATGAGCCACTCCTAATTTTATTTAATAAAAATAAATTTAATAATATTCATCCCAATTATTGCAGAGTGCGGCACCGTACCTATGAACTTACGAGGTAATTGGCTATTTACAGCTCCACCCTCCAATCCAATATCAGCCCCAAATTCTCACCCGCACTCGCCGGCGGAGAACCCAATCCTCCCCTTCCCCACATCATACACCACCTTAAATCCCTCCTGCTGCCTATTCCCAATAATCGCCACTCCTCCCGCCGCTGCAAAAGCCAAACAAGTCCTCCCCTTCTCCACATCCACCATCACATTTCTCGACGGCAGCTTCAACACCGCCCCTCCGGCGAATACTAACTGCACGTCCGGCACGGCCATCCCCACCCCACTCCCCACATAACACGTGTCTAAGATTGAGTACGCTGCCGCCCGCCGCCTCTTCTTTCCGATTGCCGTCACCACCGCCTTACTCAACGCCGCATAGATCTCATCCGGCAGCCGCGTGATTACCGTCCCTGAATCGATGATCGTCGGCGTGCCGGCGTACACCGATGCGGAGACGGAAAGACTCCGGCTTTGGACTGTTATACCTGTTAGCTTCAAGAAATAGAGAGACTTGTCGAGGGAGGAGGAGACCATGGGGGTGAAGGCGAGGTTTGCAGGAGTGTAGGAGCCGAAGGAGAGGTAGCCGGTGCCGGCGGAGGAAGGCAGGCAGTAGGAGAAGGAGTTACCGTAGATTGTAGAGAGCTGGCTGAGAAAGGAGAGGCGGTCCTTAGCGAGGCCGATGAGGCCGTCGGATCTGCCGAAGAGACCTTCGTTGTCCTGTCCGCAACCGAAGACGAAGCCGTGGATGGAAGCAGGGGAGAGTGCGAGGGTGTCCTACGCCAGTAGTGGTGAGTGTCAAACATTAAAATAAAATTAAAAAATAATAAATTATCTTATTTGTATAAAAG